GACAGGGAGATGGAGCTCAAGGCCAAGATCAGCGCCATCATCGCGGGCGCCAAGGAGACCAGCAAGGCCGAGGCCGAGTCCGTTGAGGGCGGCGGCCCGCAGGTGCGCGCGGCGGCGGCCCGCGGGCACGCGCGCTCGCCGGGCGGGGCGCCGCAGCGGGCTGTCACGGCTGCGAGCCTGCGCTGCAGCACGGCAGGCGTGTGGGGGGCTGCGCCGCGGGCTGTCAGCCGCACTGGCGCACCTCGAACAGCTCAACGCCGGTTGGCCGCAGTCAGCTGTCAACCCAACCCAACCCATCCCAACCCCGACCCCCTACCCCTGGCCCCCACAACAACACCCGACACCCCCAGGTGACTGAGGCCGACATTGCCAACATCGTGGCTCAGTGGACGGGCATCCCCATCGAGAAGGTGTCCAGCGACGAGACCGAGAGGCTCATCAAGGTGGGTGGTCACTATTTTGTTGCAGCCGCGGCTGCCTGTGGCGGGCTGTTGGGGCCGTTTCATCCCTGTGCTTCCGAGCGACATGCTGCACATCTGGGAGCGGCTGTGGCAGGCAACTCCCCCTCCCCAAACTTCCACCCCCCAAACGAACACAAACCCCAACCCCAACCCCGCACACCATCCCCCCCTCCACACCCCCACCCCCAGATGGAGGAGGTCCTCCACGGCCGCGTCATCGGCCAGGACGAGGCCGTCTCAGCCATCGCCCGCGCCATCCGCCGCGCGCGCGTCGGCCTCAAGAACCCCAACCGCCCCATTGCCAGCTTCATCTTTGCGGGCCCCACGGGCGTGGGCAAGTCGGAGCTGGCCAAGACGCTGGCGTCCTACTACTTTGGCAGCGAGGAGGCCATGGTGCGACGCAAATTGATGGGGGGGTTGGTCGCGTTGTTTTTTTTGGGGGGAGGGGTGAGTGTGCTTGTGTGTGCAGGGGAGAGAAGGTGTGTTTTTGAAAGAGAGACAGACTGTATGCAAGCACACGTGTGTGTGTGTGTGTGTGTGTGTGCGTGTGTGTGCGTGCGTGCGTGCACGCAGCATGCAGGCGGCTGACGGGGTGAATCTGATGGGGATGCACACCACGCTCATGAGGCAGCTCTTCCGTCATGGCCCCAGTAAGCGCCCCCCTCCCCTCGTCACCGCACCTCCCTTCACCCC